GTAAAATTAGTATTAGTGTGATGAAATATTTAAATTAATAAAATTAAATGTTAATTTATTAATATTTAATATCAAAATGATGTTGCTGGTAAGGAGAAGTGAATTTTGGCCAATAAATAAGAGGAGAATATGAATCTCTGATCCCAATCAACGTTGAGCATAAATATGTTATATCACTATAACAGAATGCATGACATCACGTATTCTGTTACATGTCAGTAACTGCTGTGACTGACTGTAAGAGTATTAGGTGAAACCGGTCATAAACTATAAAGGGTGCAATGACATTTTAACAATTATAGGGTTGTCCTTGCAATTACGTTAATCTNGTTTGAACCTCCCGGTACTGTGTAGGCTGCAGCAAAGGCAACTGTGACAATGAGCACAGCAACAATGGTGCAATTTTTAGCTGTTTCCCTTAGCCATTCTTCTGCTTTATGTCGAAGTTCTTCATTGTTATCAGCAAATAAGCCCTCAGCAGTTTTCCCTTCGGAGTTGATGTGCTTAAAGGAATAAGCTGAGCAGATTTCCTTTATGCGCTGCATTTGACAGACAATCGAATCAACATCAAGTGTGCTTGAATCGCAACACAACGTCAAACACAATCTATCATTTGTTTGATCTTATTTTTGTGCAATTTGTGTGAAAACAAGGTGCTTCAAGATTTTTTATCATGGTCACAAATGCTTGAAACACCTGCAATGGCAAACAAATGACTTCCTAAAACAAGGCCAAAGGCACAGTGGCATTACTTATGTACTAGGGAAGAGAGTATGTATGCTTGCACCTCAAACAAAAGCAAATCATCTCGCAATTGGAGAGCAGGGCTTTGGGTTGCATCCTCAGCTGTACGACCTTCTCCCCGCTCTCCAACCATGTGTAGAATGGAGTTTGAATTCCTGCCAACCTTCCGTGCCAGCCACTTCATTTGAATTTCCATTTTCTCAACTATATCAAATATTTCTATTTGGCGGTACTTGATGGCTATGTGTAAAATAGTATTGCCTTCATCATCGATATGCTTGAATGCTTCGTGATTTGCTCTCAGTATCTCATTTACAATCTCCACACAGCCGTAACTAGTGGCCAAAAATAATGGTGTTTGTGGTTCCTTCGCCTTTTCTTGCTGTACATTGTTTGCCTCTTTTTGCAAGGAAGGAGTACTCTGTGTGTGTGGCTCCTCTCCAAACTCACGGTTAGTATACTCCCGTTGTCGTTCTGCTTGTGCTAACAATTGGGCAAGATTAAGAGCTGATTTATATTTTTCCTTGTTTTTCCGAAGTTCTTTCCACCAGGGCAGTCTACACCATGACGCACCTTTCCAAGAAATAAAAATCGGTTTGTAATTGATTTCAACTGTAAGTTTGTAAATGTTCCATACTATGATATCAATGATGATAATAGTGATAAATTAAGGTATGATGTATGCAGTAAAATGTTAATATATGTTGACTTGTATGAATCTTGGGTTTTTCCTCGATAGATAAACAAATAAATTAAAGTTGCGCGTATGTTAGATGTATCATTATGTTGGTGATTCGGAAGGACAAATGTAACATTGTATGAAAGTGCATTAACCAATCAACTCTTCACCTGCTTCACTTATACTGGTAATGCCTTCATTTGAAACACCTGAAAAAAAATTTGAATATTTGTGATGTACACAGATTTAAGCACCACTATATATGACACAGAAGATAATACTCTATACAATTTCTATATAATAAAATATAATACAATTCAAATTTCAAAAGATAAATGAAATGAATTTTACTTTTCGCGGTTTAGATCTATTTAAATTTTACTTCAAAGTTAATCTGACGATTATTTTTAACATCCCAAATTTATTATGAAAAATAGACTTCTGAGAGTGTGTTTGAGATAACTTTTTGAAAGTGCTTCTAACACTTATAACTTTTCATAAATACTTTAAAAAAAAAAAGTAGTGTTTCGAATGCCTCACCACCACCACCGTCGTCGCCACTAGCATTACCGCCACCCCACCACTACCAACACACCCATCGTCCCACTACCACCCTCACCCTACCGCCTCAACACCCCCACCATCATCACCACCCACAACCATCACCATCACCACCACTGCCGCTATCATTCTACTACCGTCATTGTTCCATCATCACCCGCCCCACCACCACCACCTCCACAACCATCATCACTGTTGTTACCTTATTGCCACTACCCCACCGCCACCCCCCACTACCAACACCACCCACAATCGATTGCTGTCACCGTCGTCCACCGCTACCACCCACTACAATTGTCATCTCATTGGTATATTTATTACCACTATCATCATCATCTTATTACCATAGTCGCACATCATCAGCACCCACCATCACCATTGTTGCTCATCACTACCCACCCGCTACCATAATCCACCATCACCCGTTATTGCCCATCATCGCCTTTAGCCACTATCACCCACCCTTACCACATTTACCACCACTATCCATCATCGTCCACCACTACCACCATACCTACCACAGTCACCATCATCATTATTCATCATTATCACCCATCACATTGTCGTCTAGAAGCACCTGTCGTAACCCACCACCACTATTGTCATCGCCCACCATCGCTACCAATAGCACTGCTGTCACCTATGGCTTCCACTATCACTATTGTCACCTAAAACTTTTAACCACCACCATCGTTGCCACCCATAGTTGCCATCATCACCACACTCGTCGACACTCACCACAATTATTACTATCACCCAGCACTGCCATTACCATCCACCGCCTATACCATCTCTCACTCCTATTAAAATCGGTGTTTAAATTGTTTTTTCTTTCCTCTAAGTTTGAGATTTGATTTTAAGTGTAAATACAAATATATTTATTATTTATCATTTTTTAAGGTAAAATTATACTTAAATACCTTAAAATTTATCACTTAATCACTTAAACCCCCTAACATTTGAAATATTAGACACATATTCCCTAAGGTTTGTATACACGTAACACTTAGACCCTTACCTTCATTGTGTATATCAATTAGTAAATTACACTCAAACCCCCTAAAATTTATAGGCGTGCAATATTTAGATCCTTTAAGTTTAAAATATTATATTTAGACAAAAAAAATACTGCAATCAAAGAAAAAATATCAAATATTTTAAATTTTACAACTAAAATTCATGTTCTATTATGACATTTATTGAAATAAAATTAAAAATAAAAATCTAATTTTTTATTAAATAATCATAATTAGTATATAATTATACTAGTTATAGAAATTTAATTTGGTCGTTTAAATTACCAAATTACGCCAATTAAAGTTAAAAGATATTGTATCTATTAAAATTTGATCATTTGTTTGATTTTATAGTTTTATTCCAATAAATAGTATAATTGTATACTAATTATGACTTTTTAAGAAAAAATTAAATTTTGATTTTTTGATTTTATTTCAACAAATAACATAATAGAACATGAATTTTACAACATTGTGTTTATTACAATTTGACCTTTTGTTTGTTTCTATAGTTTTATTCTAACAAATGACATAATAGAATATGAATTTTGGTTGTAAAATTCATGTTCTGTTATGAATGACTGATACCCTTGTTCTATTTTTTAGTTTTATTTCAATAAATAGTATAATTATATACTAATTACGATTTTGTAATAAAAAATTGAATTTCTATTTTTGATTTTAATTCAATAAATGATATAATAAAACATGAATTATGATTGTAAAATTTAAAATATTTGATATTCTATTTTTTACTGAAGTATTTTTGTCTAACTATAATATTTTACACTTAAAGGGTCTAAGTATTATACGCCTATAAACTTCAGATGGTTTGAGTATAATTTATTATCGGATATACTAACGGATATTGTCAGTAGGGGTTTAAGTGTTATGGGCGTACAAACTCAGAGGGGTCTATATATAATATTTCAAATGTTAGGGGTCTAGGTGATTAAGTGACAAATCTCAGGGGCTCTAGATATAATTCTCCTTTTTTTTATTATTCTGTGTCTTCAGGCATATACAATAACTAGTATATATATAAAATAAAGTACAACATAAAAAATGACTCTTGTTTTTTGTGATTGAGATTATTTTAAATTTTACTTTAAAGTTATTTGACGACTAATATTAACTCTCCAAATTTAATAGGAAAAAATAGGCCCCCCTAAGGATTTGTTTGGGGTGATTTTTTAAAAGTGTTTCTAGGACTTATGACTTTTTATAAGCACTTTAAAAAAAAAATAGTGTTTGAAACAACTTATTTTAATTACTTCTAAATAAGTCAAAAGTAATTTTACCACTTAAATAAGTAAGTAAAAGTTTAAAAAAAAAAATTATTTCTTTAAAATAACTTTTCTATAAAACACTTCACTACTATCGCAACCGCCGCCGCGACCCTACCCCACCACCACCACCCATCACCATCATCATTTCATTTTTATATTTATTACTACTACTATCATCATTCCAACACCACCACCACCCATTACCAAAACCTACCACCACCGGTCGTCCCCCACTGTCACTCACCACCACCATCGTCACCGCCCATCACAACAACCTACCACCGCCACAATCACCATCGTCGCCCCAACACCAACTCTACCAACCACTGTCATCCATGGTTACTATTATTACCATCGTCACCCAAAATCTACAACCATCGTCTCTATTGCAACCTACGACTTCTATCACCATCGTAGTCGTCGTCGCCTACTATAACCATCACCGTCTCGCACTATCATAGTCACCCACAACCACTATCACCACTCACCCTCCACTACAACCGGTGTTTAAATTTTTCTCTCTCTCTTTTATGTCTGTAATTTTATTTTAGGTGTAAATACAAATATATTTATGATTGATAATTTTTTTATTACTCTGTATCTTTAGGTAAGAACAATAACTAGTATATATATTGATCAGGTAAAAAAAAATATTCAATTAAGCAAAAAGAGAATGTGCACAAAAAAAAAAATGAAAGGGAAGTATCATACCGGACATGATATAACGCTTCCGCCATCCACGACCTTTGTAAAATGCTTTCGGATTGCGCGCAAGATGTTGAAGAGCAGTCAACCTCTCTTTTTTGTCTTTTTCATTTACTAAGTGTGGATACTTCTTTGCAATCAAAAGAGCCATCTCTGTTTATATTATTTTAATGGAAAATATCGAATAAGAAACTTATAAAATAATAGAAAACCCAACGATTATAGAAATCAATTTAACTAATTTAACACCTACCTAGAGATTGACCCTCTATTAACGAACATAATAAACTGCAACGAACAATATTATTGAGATAGAATAATGAACTTACCAAACTGCTCAGTCATAACAGCTTGATGAAGTATATTACATTCTTTATTGCAATAAAAAGATTTGCGTTGTGCTTCACTTGTGATGATTTTGCTTTCTTGAACTTCTTCGTCAAGAAATTGGAACATCTTAATTTGTCCATAGCGGACAGAGCGAAAAAGAGGCATGTCTGGAAAATTGTTATCTATAATCAATAGCTCAGGGGTCATACGCAACATTTCTTTCGCGGCTGGGACAAATCCGTCATAAATTGATGCCTCCATGAGGATAGTATTTCCATCAGTGTTTTGAAGGCACATTTTTTGTTTGAGTTGATCTTCTGGGAATTTTTTGAGCAAATCTAGCAAACTTGTTACTAACTCAACGTTCATAGAATATAAGGCCACATGAAGGACCGTGTCTTTATGCATGGTTAGTATGCTAAATGGACCCTCTGGACTTTCTTTGCATTGTCGAAGCACATTGTCGTGCTCCTTGTTCATTACAGCATTGTACAACACTTCATTATTCGGGTCAACCATGTCTGCCTGCGCAAGAAATGGAGAGGGCGAGAGAGAGAGAGAGAGAGAGAGAGAAAGAATCTTGAATGCAAGAGTTTAGACCATGTGTGAGGTATATATAGAGGTAGTTACACACAGACACAGACACAGACACCTGAGCCGATCTGTTACAACCCTTAACAAAGTAATGAATGCTTATTCTATATTCTGTATTCTTCATAAATGATGTCTTTGGTCAGGTATTTCTTTAGTAAAATTTATGCTCAGTTTGACATTACATGCCAAGCATCTGATGCCCAAAAGATTAGTGTGACAGTGTAGAAAATAATCTTTATTCTAAGTCCTAGGTTATCTTTATTAGATGACATTAGATTCGATGTTTGTGACAAACTTTTATTCAAATCACAGCCTTCACAAGAAAGATTGAGTTAACACCGAGCCTGGACCGGAGCTGAATAGCTCGACTATTTTATATACAAACAAGTCGAGTTTTGCGAACTCAAACCGAGTCTTTTAGGTTTGTTTTTCTAAACGTGTCTAAAAAATTATTTAAACTCAACTCGTTTAGAATACGAGTCGAGCTCAAGCCGAATCCTATCCGAACTGAGCCCGCATAACTTGTCTCAATTGACACGCCTAAATAGAATGAAAGAAAATGGAGAATATGAGGAGACAGAGCAAGATGGGAAAACAATTCAAAAGTACTAGTTGGAGCAATGCACACCATACAATACGTTCGTGGGAAACAATGTAACATGGACAATGAAAAAGAAGAAGAAAAGGAAAATGGGGAAAAATATGAAACAAAGGAAGAAAGAAACAATGTGAGATTTAAAAGTGCAACACATTCACTCTGTTTACATGTGTTCCCATTCCAGAGAAACCATTTCTACTCATTTCCCAATCCATTTCACTGGAAATCACTTACATTTGGGAGCTCATACCCTGGTTGCTTTGTAGAAATAGTTTCCCAAGTAAATATAAAAGCACCAGCATCAAGAACAACCAAATTTTCCTTTTCCATCATTGGTCGATTACTGATTTACTTACTTTTATTGTATTTCCTTCACAGCATCCCC